ACAGAGGCTTTCCAGGAAAAGCGGACATTGTGAGCAAAGGCGCACAGTGGGATATCCTGCAGTGCTCTGAGAAACAGGAATATGCCATTTTCCTAAACATTTATTTACTTAACAGCTTTATTGAGATATAATTCACATCCCATACAATTTACTCAATGTGTACAGTTTACAAAGTCTGACAACACCACAATCATGTATAGTATAATGTATTATTATTATTATTTTGAGTTGGAGTCTCACTCTGTTGCCCAGATTGGACTGCAGTGGCACACTCCCGGCCACTGCAGCCTCGACCTGCTGGGCTCCGGCGATCCTTCCGCCTCAGCCTTCCAAGTAGCCGGAACTACAGGCACGCGCTACCACGCCTGGCTAATTTTTGATTTATTGTAGAGACCAGGTCTCGCCAAGTTGCCTGGGTGGGTCTCGAACCCGTGAGCTCTGACAATCCACTCACCTCAGCCTCCCAAAGTGCTGGGATTACAGGCTGAGCCACTGAGCCCTACCATTATTATTTTTATTATTGTTTTGAGTCAGGATCTCACTTTGCTGCCTAGGCTGGAGTGCAGTGGCATGATCACAGCTCTCCGCAGCCTCAACCTCCTGGGCTCAGGCGATCCTTCTGCTTCAGCTTCCCAAGTAGCTGGGACTACAGGCACATGCCACCATGCCTGGCTAGTTTTTGTATTTTACGTAGACACGAGGTCTTGCTATGTTGCCCAGGCCAGTCTTGAACTCCTGGGCTCAAGCGATCCTCCCATCCCAAAGTGCTGGAATTACAGGCGTGTGCCACTGTGCCTGGCCTAGAATAATTTTAGAATCAGTTTTAGAACATATTCACTGCCCCAGAAAGAAACCAAGTGCCCGTTAGCAGTCTCTCCCCATTCCTCCATTCCCCTAGTCCTAGGCAACCACTAATCTCCTTTCAGTCTTTATGAATTTGCCTACCCTGGATATTTCATAGAAATATTATCATATAGTATGTGATGTTTTGTGACTGGCCCTTTCACTTAGCATCATGGTGTTTTTTTTGTTTATTTTTTGAGTTGGAGTCTCACTCTGTCACCCCAGCTGGAGTGTAGTGGCACACTCACGGCCACCCCAGTGTTGATCTGCCGGGCTCCAGCAGTCCTTCCTCCTCAGCCTTCCAAGTTGCCAGAACTACAGGCACGCACTACCACATTCAGCTAATTTTTTTTTTTATTAATAAATATTTTTTATTATGGTTTTGTGGGGTACAGTTAAGGGTTAAGTGTACAATTACGTTTCATTCAGGCACCCTGTTGATAAGAGGTGTTTTCCCATCCCCAGACAGATATTTGCTACTGTTAATCCCATCCCCCCCCCATAGTTTCCCAGTACTGTCAGTCATTTTCTTATAGTATTACACTGGATGTTCAAGGTCCATTATATGAGTGAGAACATGTGATACTCGGATCTTTGTTTCTGTGAGAGGTCACTCAGTATTATAGACTCTAGTTCCATCCAGGTTGCTGCGAAATTCATGATTTTGTT